AGTAAAGTGTTGATCCCAAGTTTGCAGAATGTAAGCTTTAAATAATAGTTAGCTCAGCACGCTTAACATCGCTTCATTAGCAAGCTCTAAAAAATTCTGCCCTGATGTGAATACTAAGGCATTAGATCATACTGAATCCAAATTCATAACAAATTTACATCCCAGCATGGTCTTTTCTCCTGTTGTTTTTCTTCATCCCACACTTTGTAATCACTTTTTCTCCTTGAACTTGAAGGTTTTCATCTGTTTTGGTTCAGCTGTACTTCTCTAGCTTATCAATGTCCTAAAGTAATAGGCAGGCATAATCACTAAATTATCCGACTATTTTATATCCTTATTTAATTGTCTGTCTCTTGCCAAAGACCACGCTTGGTGTTTGATCCTGTTGTAACAAAATACAAATGTCACCATGTAATTTTCAGAATGGAGAGTGGATTTAATTTTCCACTGGGCATGTGTTTCACGGACCGGCTTCTCTGCTTTGCTGCAAACGCCATCGTAATTTCGCCATATGTAAGAGGGCGATGGCACCGCACAAAAGCCACAGGAGGGGAGGCACCCTAAAGCAGTAGCACTAGAGGTGCTCGATTTGCTTGTGAGCAGGACTGCAGACAGATTGTGTTCTGATGACACTACAAAAGGTAGAGGAATATTTTATCTTTTGAAAATCTCTGCCTGAGATTCTGGAAAGCATATGGCCAGTAAGGCCATGAGAGAAGGAGCAGTTGTTATCTCAGTGAACACTGTTATTCAGCAAAACCAGAACTGGAAGCTGTATTTTAGAATTCATTTAATTTGGTGTCACGTTCTGCTTTCGAGTTGAACTTCAGATCTTTGCAAACTTGAAAGTACAGGAGAGTTTTCTGGGGCTCACGGTTAGTCGTTGCTGTTACTCCAGAGATGTTCTTGGATGTTTCAGTCAGAGATCTGAATAGTTCTGGCATTTGTACTCACCAGACTTTGTTACTGCATTTGTCTCACAGCTTTTAAACAGCAGAAAACATGTACAACGTATTTAAACAACACCAGAGAAATTAGGGTCATGAGAATGCATCGTCAACAAATGAAGATAAAAAAGAGCTGTTGTTTAAAAAAAAAAAATTGTTGTTGCATGACGCTTTTGAAATTCTACATACCAAATTCAGAGTCATGTTGATGATTTATTCTAATGTAGGAAAACATCATCAAGAGTGACAAGCAAGCTAGTCACTGTCTAGTCACCTGCCAGCAAATATTTCATAAAGACTAAAAAGGCTGGTACTGCCTTGCTGAGCTGACACTAATTATTTCAGTATACATGGAGCTTTGGGATTCGTGTTAATTCTCAAGTCTGTCTTTAGTTCAGACTCATTCCACTGTGTAAACTCAGCAGAGCACAAATTATTTGACCATCCTTTCATAATCTGTCCCCACGCTCACTTGCCAATTATATAAACTGATCCAAATACCTGCTCTCAAAGGATCCCCATTTGGGAATCACAAGCCAATTAAAAAAAAAAAAGGGGGATATCCACTTTTTTGTAGCTCATGTCTGGTAGTCCTGTTTCATGTTGACATTCATTTCTGGGTATCTTCTTTAGATAACATTGTTCTCATCAGTGTTCAGAAAAGATGGTGATAAAACCCTTTTTAGATGAAAACTCTATCAGGTATAGCATATTGCATCCTATAGAAAGGATGAGCTCAACAGTACCTACCAATATCCTGAATATCCCGAGAAAGCCTCCCGCTGCTGCATCACGATGTTGTTTCTTTGTTCATTACACACTTAAGTGAGTATTTTTAGAACAGCATTTAAATATTGCATAGTGGTATCATGATCTTGCAGCAGCTTAGTGATGATGCTTGTTGAAGGTGTATAAACCAGCATGCAGGTGAACACAAAACAGCAGTCACCTCGGTGGCACGAGGTATCGTGAGAGAGGATTTGAGAAACGTGGCTCTGTGTGTGACTCAAAACACCGTATCTGTCTGTTCTGTGAAAATTCAGCTCTGGAACTGGCTTGTCTTTAAGGTTTGCAGTTAAAATAGCTGCATTTTTGCACAAATGCTTCCAAACATTGCAGCCAGTGGATGGCTGCCCTCCACAGGTAACACAGATCGGAGCCACGGTCAAGCTGTAAGAGTGGCCTCCTTGCTGCCGTGCCCAACTTTCGGCATCCAGAAGGTCCACGCAGCTTGGGAGCCACCACGCAGTTCCATATACTGTTTAGATTTCATATACTGTATCATTTTTAGGTGACTGCCTGCTTCATTGCACTTCCAGATCAAGAATCGAAGTGCGCTAATAGATGGATTTATATCAAACTACAAACCCTGAAGCAACGTTCCCCACTGAAATCAGTGCCTACAGAGAACTGCTTGCAAGTGTTTGTGGTTTGTTTGAGTTTGTACGTTCCGAGTAAGACTAAAAGTGAGTGTGGCTTAAAATTGCAGGAGACTCAGAAAATACTTTGCTGGTTTTTCCTATAATGTTCTTGGGGTTTGGGGTGTTGGGTTTTGGGTGGGTTTTTTTCCCAAAACAATAGCTGAAAATTGTAAAATGCAGAGAGTAGTGTTCCCGCTAGATCTTACTTCAAGTGAAGTCTGATTCAGAAGTAATACTGGGAATCCTAGAAGGCCACAAAGTATTTAGGTATTGGGACTGGATAACCTCTGAAGAGCTTCACCAAATCTACATTTCACTGATTTATCATCCTGTAAGGCAGACATTTTCTAATAATGAACCAGACTCTCTTAAGTCCAAACCATGGTCTCACCATTTCCATTTTTATGCCACAGCATTTTAAAGTGTCCAACACCAAAGTACGCCATGGGCAGAATCCATAGTTTAAAAAAAAAATCACAAAGGACTCAAAAGCACCCCAAATAATGAAAGTTGGTTTTTAACTGAGATGTGTTCCGCCTCCCAGGCTGCGTGGGGAGATGTGTGTTTGGGATTTGTGTTCAAAGCCCAGCTCTTAAAAAAGGTCATTCCTCAGGAAGCACCAAGAAGTTGAACCAATTCACCTTTGAAGCCCCTTGTTTGTTGGTTCGGTGGGATACATCTGCAGAACCAGAGACTGCAGGTCACTGTAACCCTGTTAATGCCAAGGAGCAAGGTAACTTCCTATTATAAAACTGGGCCCGTGGCATAGGCTGTAAAGGAATTTGCTCCCTTTTTTTGTGTTCTGGTAGGTTGCATTTCTTAGAAGTTTGCAGAAACTTCTTTACCCCAATGTGCCACTGAAGCTCCCTGCAGCTGGTGTAATGAAGACGATATATTCTGGGAGGCATCTTGATTTGAGAGTGACAGCTCCGTATATTTGTGAAAATGAAGTGGCAGCAGAGTTGCCAGTAAAGCATATTGTGTCTTTGTGGTGCAGAAATACATCATGTTAATAACAATAATTTTCACAGTTACATGTGACCATTTGCACGCAGGGAAGCGCCGCTCTGGGGAGAAGTCCTAAGAAGCAAGGAAGAAGCTAACCGGTTTTGCTTTCTTGCTTCCAAAACAGCCAAAAGGAAGGAAGATCGTGCCTGGAGAACTGGCGCAGCAGCAAAGCGACACTCTGCTCCCGTGGCGCCAGCATCAGAGCGCTAACGGCCTGCGGCGGCAAAAGCGAGACTGGGTCATCCCACCGATCAATGTGCCAGAAAACTCCAGAGGACCCTTTCCACAGCAGCTGGTTCGGGTAAGTTAAAAAAAGGAACAGAAATGATAAAATAGTAATGGTCATCTTGCGGTGGGTCTAGTGAAGTAGTAGGTATGGTCCAGGCTCACGGCATGAGGAGTCTGGCTCGGAGCACAGGCTCCCTGCTCTTCCTCCCTCGTGCAAGAAAAGTTGCCTTTTCCGTGCTGCTGAAACGCTTCTTTTCCAAAGTGCCTTGCCCCAGTTTTCCCTCCCCAGCTGAACGGCAGCCTAATCGCCTCCTCCCAGCCGGTCCCTCGAGACGCTGGCGCTGCTGCCAAGATGGCACTTTGCCAACGCTCTCATCCAGAAAACGGCTGCAGGTGTAAAGCTGGGCTTGGTGACACCCAGCGACGAGGGGGTGCTGCATCCTTCCCTTCCTTCACAGAGCTGGAGTACAGATGCGTGGCAGGGCTCGAGGAGGTTGGCTGCTTGCCGCCACTGCAGATGGGTCCCTCATCCCCTCTGTGTTGCTAGTTTCTGTCTCTACAAGGATGATCTCTGAGATCAAGTTTACCCATGTGGTTTTCTGTGATGATTATTAGATGACAAGTAAAGAAAAAGAAGGGAGAAGGGGGCCTTTGATAGACATATTTGGTTGATATATTATTGCTGTTGATAAGTGTTAGCAAAATACAAATACATGTTGCTATTCCTCTTGCGGGTGCTGGTTTCAGTTTTTGGAGCAGGAGAAAGATTAGCTGTAAAAAAAAAAAAGAAAAAAAAAAAAAAAAAAAAGAACTCCCTGGCAGACTTTTTCAGCTCTTCCCTTGGAAGAAAATGGTGTCAATTATAAAATTTCAGAACTTATTTTGAGCAACAGCGGTGTGTCATTGGCATCCCTGCTCAGGAAGTTCACCTACTCATCTTGAAACAGCGCCTGGATTCAAATGAGTTGTCATCATTACCTGGTTCACACCAATTAGCTGATGCTTTTCTGCACAAGCTGTATCTGGGAGGAAGAAAGGAGCTTGCCGAGTCCTTTAGACGTTCAGGTGAACTTTGCAATGACTTACGCAATGACTGAAAGTGCATGTTCCCAATTTACCAAGTATTGGGTAAACTTGAATTGTTGGTGTCATTTCTTCGTGCAATTAGGGAAGTACGACAAAGAATAAAAAAAAGTAGCAGGTCGGAAATGTTTTCATGTCTGTCCTGGAAAAACAGGGAGGAAAGCCAAGGAGTCCTTGTGTGGTCAGCAGTTCTGGGTATGGAGTGGCCCATTAATGTGTTGTCCTAATAAGTTGAAGAAATATCTGAAGAGGAGAATAAGCTGATGTGTCAAAACTATCTTCCTAAATCAGATTAATAATTTAGATTAATTCCTGAATTCCTATGAAAAATAAGTGGAGTACTTGCAAAATGAACTTGTGCCCGGGCCCACTCCCTGCTGATTTCCTTTGAGCTTTGAGTAGGCAGCAAGAGGACGAGTTGGCACCAGCTTACCATGGCAAATTTGTTGATTTATAAGGACTGAAATCTCTCTGGCACTTTTTCCCCCTACAGTTGGGATATGAAACAGAAGGACTCAGGAATGCAAAACTCCAGTATTAATGAAAGTGACAAATAATAAATTTTATATAGGCACAGAAGAATTGATATTCATTACTTAAACTACCAGTAACCTTGGAAAGATAACCTAGCTGATGGAAACACAGAGCTCCCAGATTTTCAGCGATGTGTTCCATTGCAGTTTTTAAGTACAGATGCTAGAGGAAACACTGAAAATGGAGTGAAACCTGGGGTGGGAAGCAAAGCAATGTCTTACAGAGGGCTGCTTTCCTTTTCACCTGACATACAGAAAGTATCATAATGTCAGGGAAGATGGTACAGAGAGTGCAAATTGATTAAATGTGAGACCCCTGATGTTTCAGGCTGCTCATCTGCAGCATCTGGCCCATTTGCTGGCCCCTGAACATGAAGCTTGGGTGGTTCCCAGCAGGAGTTACAGCTTCCCCTGTTAGACTTTGCTCTTCAGTTATCCAGGATAGGTCAAATCAACGTCTTCAAAGACCAGCACTATCTGATTATTTCCATCCACATAATCTTCAGATTGCCCTGGAGCATTCTGCTGTCTCCTAGATCTAGGTAACAGTTTTGATCTGATTTCCCATGCTTTTGCTCACTGGGCGCTGAATATTTTTGTGTCCATCTGCTCACAAACTGGAGGTAGAAGTGCACATGTGAAGTTACAGCTCAGATCCCATTTGCACGGAAGGGCGTCTGTCAGAGTTTTCTCTATTACGTTACACAAAGTGTTCAAACCTATCGCTGGTTCCTGGACACTGAACTTCTTTTGGTCCAGAGAGCCCTGCTTGAGCTTACGTTTTATAGAACCATAGAATCATAGAATGTTTTGGGTTGGAAGGGACCCCTAGAGGTCATCTAGTCCAACCCCCCTGCCATGAGCAGGGACACCGCTAACTAGATCAGGTTGCTCAGGTTATAACCTGAGGTTATAACCAAAGGAAACAAGTCCCTCCATTATGCTACCTTTGGTTCTGGTTAACTCCAAGGAGAGGAAGAGATGGCATGAAAAATGGGAATATTAAAAAACCAAAAAGCCCTACCAGAAGTACATTTTCATAGTACCACTTGCTGTTTGCGTTTTTATAGGTCAGGCTAATTTGAAATGCATAGGCAAATCTTTCGGGTTCCCTCCTACTCCTGCTTCCTATTGTGAAGGTAAAAATTCCATTTTATGGAAGTTGATTAGTTAGTTGTCAGTATTTTTAGCAAGGCTGTGCCTGAATGAAGTTTAAATCATAGCAAAGGTGAATGCAGCTTGATGGGAGCCACATACCTCGAAATGCAGCCCTATCTGGCTCAGCTGGGATCAACTATAATTCCCTGCTCATTAAACCATTTCATTCTGATAAAATACATTAAATGAAAAAGTTTTTAGAAGAAAAAGAAAAAAGGAAGACATCACAACATTATCCCTGCCAAAAAAACCCTCTGTTAATTACAGGGTTTTTTCGTTCAAAGGAACGTCCGTGTCTGTTCATACACATCAACCACACTAGCTAGGAAATGTATTTCAGAAAAATAATATGTAAAAAATAATAGTAGGAATTTCTGATTAGTTTTGGCTGCTGAAAAGGTTTACTTAGTCTTCAAAGTGTTTAAATAAACATCTGACGTGTAAGCTAAAATAATTTTCATTGGTATAAAAAATGTTTTGCAAATTTTGGTTTTGTCTTTGAGTTGAGAAAACAGTTATCAAATTTTATTGATATATGCTTATTTATTTTGCAAACATTTATGAAAATCTTGTGTTTAATTTCCTTTTGCTTCACTTCCACCTTAGTATTAGAAATAATATTTTACATGCTGTGAAATATTTTACTGTACTGAGGGTAATTTCATTACTAATTGTCAGGTACTCTCATTATTATAACTATGAGGTCCATAAAAATGCCTATTAAAAATACAAAAACAATATGAAATCCCCCTCCTTCTCTAAGCAAATGACTCATGCACGCATAGTGATCGACCAAGATAAAATATTAAATAGTTGCGCCCTTGGTGAGTACCATCTATTTTCTCACTGACTCATCCTTTTTAGCTACATTTGTAGCTAATTCTTAATTATCTGTTACCTAGTTATCTTTTAGCTCATCTCATATTTCATCCTCCTTTGAACTTCAAAAAGCATCTCAGTTTTGGACCCACATGCAAGTCTTTAGCTTCTTCTAATGGGAGTCTTGGGTCAGTTTTCAAGGCTGAAATCTTGGCCCGTCTCACTGGGTTGCATGAAAATCCTTCACTTAAAAGACCAACAGTCTTGACAGGACCAGTCTTTGGTCATGGCATGCTCAGATAACGGGATCCTCTATCAACCGCTGCAACCATATTCACCTTTATGAATGCTCCAGACTTCCAACTTTTATCTCCAGGACCTTTCTAGAGCTCTTATGAGCTGCCTGTCTCTAGCTTGATCTGCACAGACCCTAATTTTTCCAGCTTGCCTTTATTAAACTTGGGACTGAAAAATGTGTTATTTGCCCATTATGTTGAACAACTTGTTTATTCTCATTACACCAGCATGAAAATCCACTGAGGATGACCAAGGCAGGATCTTGGTGCTCTTACAAACTGCCTTGATTACGTGCTACAGGCACAGCATGCTCTCTCATATCCGAGCACTGGTAATCTCAGACACAAGAATACTAGAAATAATCTAATGTGTATAATAGGGAATAAGAGGGAAGGATGCATTTTATGTAAATTTAATCAGAAAGTCCTGAAGTGGTTTGGAAAGTTGGCGGAATATAATATACCTGAAGACTCTTGCGTTGCTTCTTAGCAGAGGTGTGGTTGATTGGTTGGGTTTCGTGCGGCACGGTGCATGTTAATGGAGCAGAGAGCTCTTCTTAGCACACTAGAAAACCCCGCGGTGGACTCATGGGTGGGTTTAGCCCATGTTAAGCTATACGGTGAAGTTGGATACTTAATATGAAAAAAGTTGATAGCACACTCAAGAGCTCCACGGTCTATTTGTGTGCTGTAGCCCATCCTGGCACGGGAAATAGGTGTAGTGAGACAGTTCTCCAAAAGTCTAAAATCCCAATGTTGGCGATACACATGAGGTATACTGAGCTGCGAAATCCCCACCGGCTTGCACCATCAGCCCTTGATATTGCCATTTCCTTTGCTCGCCGTGGCTATTTCAGCATGCACCTTTGCACTGTTTTAAATAGTTCCGTTGTAGGAAATCCCTCGTGCCTGCTCTATCTACCAGGTTGCCTACTGCTGTGAAATTGGCAGTTCAGAATCCATTAACTCCCAGCTGCAAGACAGATGGCATCTGTCTGTGGTGAGAGAAGGTTTGTTGAGAAAAGGCCTTGCAAGTGCTTCCCAGAGGACATCAGACCTTACTTTTCCTGAGAGAGACATGGACAGCCTGGATTACAAACAGGCCTAGATCTTCCTTGTTCTTCACGGCAACACGTGTTTCTTTTGCCTTAACCACAAAATAAATAAAAAATATTGCTAGTTCT